GTGCTACGATATTCGAGCCGTACTAATTTTCGTTGGGCGCCAGGCACGAGAGAGCGTGCCGCTCTTCGCACTAAATTAAGATGTTACGCTCGGACAAAGAAATTACAGAGCAACAGAATTCGCGACGGACAGGCTCAGCTAGCTCAGCCCACGAAATTGGCAGAGGGGGTGGTTCGCGATAAGCTGGGAACAATGTCGGAGAACGAGGTAGAGGCAGACAGAAATAATCAGGTAGCAATTAATATTAACAATGACAAAGAGTTCCACTTTATTCAAGTCGCGTCGATACATGAGTTGACGTAGTTTACAGAATTCCACGGTCGCGCGTGGACGACAAGTTTACTTTATTACAGAAGAGACGATATCAAGGTCGTCGTCGACGGTACTTAGAAATGTCCGACTCTCGGAACTTCCCGCAAACCGACAGCCTAATGCTGAGCGGTGACACGCGGCTCGACTCTAATTCTTAAACAAACCGGAATCTCAACAAGTAATACGAACGATATGACTTGGCAGTGACACGGGCGAGCGATAACGACAATCCTGAGTTCACAAACTCTTACGCTCGAGCGGATGGCACGCGCTCATCGACAGAAACAAAGTTAGTTTGTGCCGGTACGATATCGGCTGAATCAAACCCGCGAAACTCACACACGCGATTCGCTCGAGACGCTCACAAAATATTACGCGATCGGTGGCTTTACAATACAACGAATAACGCTCGCCTCACCAAGATACTCCTCCTCAGCCGCTTCCTTCAAAGTCTGTACGAGAGCCGATAGCAGTGCTCATCTTCGACGAATATTCTCGAAATTCCTGACAAATTATGGGCGAGATCCTGCGTCCTTACTCGAGGTCCGTCACTGCACAAGTGCCGATCGGAAGTTACGTCAGGCCCTCTCTTATCGGCCTCTGCTTGCTCTAATTGGCTCGCCGCGACCGCGTGACCCCGCGACGAATCCCGCGGGTCCTTGCGTGTCGCGGATCCTTTTACGTTGTGGCGCGCTTATCCAAAAATCGGAAAATGCTTCCTTGTCGCTTGACGATCTTCCATCGATCGTTGTGGGACACGGTGCTTCGGCGGATGTTCTGCCTTTGAGTCCGTTCCCAG